TCTTGTATGTGCATTCTCGCCGATCTCGCCAAAAACTGATAGAAACAAAAAAGATAGAAATAGGTTACGCATCTAGAGAATTAAATCATCACAAAACAGACGAAGGGCCGTAGCAGAGTTAATTAATCATCATCATCAGCCTATTAATGTCTCCATTGCTGGGGCACAGACCTTCCCTATGGATGAAATAGGGAGATTAGGCCATGACCCACCACGCAGGCTCAGTGCGGATTGGCGGGTGCTAACGACTGCAGATGCAGCCGGGACCAACGGCTTAACGTGCCTTCCGAAGCACAGAGGAACTCGAGATAGAAGATTTTTGGTCACCCATCCAATGACCGACCACTGCGAAAGTTGCTTAATTTCAACGATCGCAGCCGAATGAGCTAATCGTCTGCGCCATCGAACTCCTCTAGTTAACTAATATTAAATAATTTATTTTACATGGATTTTGGACACATGCACCCTATATATACGCTATACGCTCGGTTGTCAGGCGGTAACCGACTGACAACCGAGCAACAAATGAAACCGCTCGGATAAAACTTGGTTCCGCCCGGTTGCATGAATACAGCGAGCGACGGCGCGGTGCCGCCGGGCAATCGTAGTGATACCTTAGACAAAACAATAAACGTTTTTGCTCGGACGAGTACACTTGCCCTTTTACTTTATCTGAATGATTAGACTGCATCACGGCGCAACGGTACCTACCTAATGGCTCGGTCGAGGCACTTCTTTGTAATTTTTTTCGTCACATCGTTTTGCCCAAAAATATACTTGGCATTTTCTAAGAAAAACTATGATTCCTAAAGTTTTCCCCTAGATACATTTCTCCAAGTTCTTATTTTTCCCAAAATAAGTATAAACACTCCCAATCTAGAAACTCTAAGTACCACAGAGTTGCCAAGTATTCACTCTTTAATATTGATTCATAATTTCTCATACAGTAAAATAAAAAAGTTATGTAAGTTTCCGTATTTCAAAGATGATGAAGAACAGTAAAGAATTACTTAAAATAAGTCAAAATCACTTAATAATAAGTAATTATTGCTAATTTGAGTAAACCGATAATTACCAGTTCAATGCTTTTACATAATCTGTGAATTCAATTTAGATGCTCGTTTACAGCTGTCAACTGTGCTCTTAATTTAGTTAGTTCGCAATTTCAGAATACCAATTCTCTAAACCTAAACTAAAATTAGCTCTCTAATTTTAAGTTTAGGTTCAGAGAATGTAACGCCAGAATCGGTCCCATTATGCTCTGTGTGAACCTATGAAAAATACGGAAAAGAAAAAAAGGTAAATTTAAAAAAATCAAAAAACCCGACTGCTTAAATATTACTTCAAATAAAAACTGAAAAGAAAAAAACAAGTCCAGTAGTCTATAATTCTGTTAAGTAAGGAACAAAGCTACTTTAACAGACGGGACCCATTAGATATTCAAGGAAGAATCAATTTTTTTCAATAATGGGTCCCGACTGTTAACATTGCTTTGTTCCTTACTTAACAGAATTATAGACTACTGGACTTGTTTTTTAATTTTCAGTTTTTATTTGAAGTAATGTTTAAGCAGTCGCGTATTTTGATTTTTTAAATTTACCTTTTTTTTACACTTTTTAGTTAGGATTATAAGACGGTATATACTGCAGTCTTGTCACTTCAATAAGGGAGTTAATATCAAGTGGATTATTAAGTACACTTGCGGTGGTCTAAACGACACCTTACCATCAGGGTCAAGGCCTTAAGGGCCTCAATTTTCGCAAAAATGTGTGTAAAGTTAAATCAATTCCTTATCCGTATATCTAATGAATGTAAATTATATACTTAACTAGTAATTATTTTCCGTATCTATTCAAAAAGTCATCTTTTGCTTATGTTCTTTTTAGTAGTAAATAAAATTGGCCGTGGCTGTAAGCAACTCAAATGCAGTGCATACCCTTGTCTCATAATTTGTTTTACTTACTCGTACATAATTCACAGAACCAAATATGTAGGTGCCAGAGGTAAAATATTATTATCCTAACTATCTATACTAATAGGTAGGAATTATAAAGAGGCAAGAGTTGTATGTGTGTAACAAATAATCTCTCAAACCTGATCCGATTTCGAAAATTCATTCATCATAAGGTAGCTAGCTACATTATTTAATATATCTTTAAGCTTTAATCTCAATAAGTTGATTAATCTGCTCGATTTATAAAACTAAAGGTACTTTTACTTGAAAAATTCTAACAACTTCTCCGAGAGGATTTTTTAAGTATTTTTTTTCTTTATAACTACATTATATTGGAGTGAAATATGCTATATTTTATCCCGTTAAAATAAATTTCGCCCATGCAATGTCGGAGCGGATCACTAGTATAATATAATATTATAGATGCGAAAATGAGTTTGTTTTTAACGATTCCGCATCCTAATAGCTAAATCGATTATGATGAATTTCCCTATATAAATAGATGGGGCCTTGGTTCTAAGCTACATTATCTAAATATCTATAGGGGTAGGGTGATGGGAGCGGTGATTTACCTATAAAACTTTATATTATTTGCATCAAATTTTGTAGAATTATCTGCAGAATAATATGAAGTAATATCGTTAAAACAAACTTTGAAAACCGTTTCATTCACAGTGTTTCATTAAATTTATAAAAAATATAAATAGGTACTATGATTACTTATCATTAATTAAAGAAGAAACTTTATCACAGTTTTATTCTAAGTACTTCGTATAGGATTAAATACTGTGAGTAGCCCATTTTTTTTCCTTTTTCTCCTAGGTTTTATCTACGTTTATAAATACCAAAATTCATCACTTTTCCCACCATTCCCGCAGTATCCTAGTACTGCATAGCACAACGCGCTATCACTTTGTCATCGTAACATCGTTGTAACTTTTTAAATATTTGTCGAAATAACACAGAGTAAAAGGCAAAGTTTATCGTCTCTACATATCAAAAGCGATAAAAGTATTTGTTTTGATAAAAAATAATTTGTTTATACAAAATATACATTTTGGTAATTTATTTCAAATAATATTTTATTTTTGATTCACTATTTTAGCTATAATGGCTTAAACATTAAAAATAGATATATGCTGTCCTGGACTTTTTTGTAGTACTATATAAGAGATACAATTGCACCATACATTATATTCATGTAACTTTTATTGTTTTTGCAGTGCAGGCCAAAATGGCTCGCAGATGGGAGATTTTTTCCGTCTCACGTGACACTTATTGTTATATTATGGCCAATTCACCAAATAACAACATTAATTATAATCTATATGCTATTATTATGTATGAGTTTTATTATTGGTTAGTTTGATTAAAATCTAATTAGTATTTTTTGAGTGAAAGAGTTACAAAGATCCATACAAACGTAAGATTGAAATTAATAGCGCAAGTGGTTAATATATACAACTTTAAATCGTTGTAGATCCTAAACAATCATATAAAATGAAAAATGGTGTAAGGAACCTAAATGTGATTTTTGATTATCTAGAGTTCTAGACAATGGTATCATTGTCTAGAACTCTCACATATTTCGGCAACTTTTTTTTTTCTTTCTTACAATATGGCGCCCTGTTGTCTCCATATTGATTTTTGATTATTATCATATCTTTAGTAGCACTCCCATGATTAAGATGAATCGATTGATGTATAAATCATCAAAATCGGTCCACGCGTTTGGTCTCTAGTGTGCAACAAAGGAACAAACATACATATATGTATAGACTGATAAACACTATACCCTGTCTGCGCGTCGCGCTTCGCGCTCTTGCATTGCGCAGTCGGGTAAAAATTGTAATTACAGCATATTACGGCTTGACATCTGCTTAGTATCATTTGGGGCAATAGTACGGAGGCGCTAGAACTATTAAAATAACAGTAAATTGCATTCAAATCATTGTTAATTTAGACCAAATGAAAAATTGTAAACCATTTTTTGTGAGAGAATATTATTTTCTTTTAACTACGCAGTAATGTTATCATTAATCACTACAAAACAGATTGCTTAGAACCAAAACAATGCAGAAATGTTGTATGAAATCTCATTGTTGCTCTTTTATTTATTTTTCATTTACATATAAAAACCACAGAGGTTTAATGTCTCTCACAATAAAATCCAAAATGTACTGGCTGGTCACTGGTCAACTCGATAAGTCACTTTGTAACAGTTAGTTCTTCTTTCGTATAATAAATGGCGGTACTACATATTATTATTGTTATTTTCTACTCGGCCATGTTGAGATTTTTATGCAGACTTTAATATGCAAATGGTTCGGTGTGCCATTTCTTCCTATAGCGTATTCCAAGTTGGTGATTCGAACTTTTTGCTTTGGCAGCAGGCTGAATAAAACTTAATTAAATGTCCAAGTAGTGCTAAATTCATTTTTAATAAATGCACATTTCATGATTTGGAAATGTAAATGTTTGAGGAGTATATGAATGATTATTTATTAAAGCATCTAAAATTATACTTAAAAATACTCTCTTATCAAATCAGATCATAATCAAATTGGAATTAAAATAGGGAAAGAAACATTATCTTAGACGCAATTTGTCATTGACTGACAAATTAAAGCTAATATTATTGGTTTAAATTAATTTCCTTGATTGTGATTGGTTGTATCAAAAATCACGTGGTTTCAGTAGATAATTGTTATTTACTTAAATCAACATTTTATGTGGTACAAGTGGGTAATGAATTCCATTTATATTTTTGATGAATTCGGCGTATTGGTCTACACATAAATTCATGCTTGAGGTACAAAATTGGGCAGAGGTGTATGAAGACTTGAATGGATCCATTGCACGGAACCGTCAGTGGACGAGTCCGATTCCCACATGACCGGTTTTTATTTATATAGACGACATGATTACTTTCTCAATTAGATTTAAATTAGATATAATCACTTTTATGCTTGCAATAGGATTGTATTTATTAAGACACAGTTTATAATAATTAAAGGCCATAAAAATTACATGTTTTTGTCCACAGGTGAATCGAATGTTTACACTTTGGGAACGATAGGCGCACACAGAGTGGTAACCACAAAATTGCCGTCTGTAGGACGAACCAGGGAAGCCATGACAGCTGCCGGCAACACCACCACAAGACTTCTAGGAATCTTCCAGAAGGTGAGAATTCTAATTTTCAATTTATATTGTATCATTGACGCATGTAAGAGGAAACATGTATCGTGTATATTAAACAAACACTAATTTGAGCTCTCGTCAGAGGAAATTACATAGCAGTACAATGATGGTATATACATATTTGAGTTAAATCGGTCCAGCTTGTATCGACCAATGAGCCTACGCGATTAAGTACCTCGGAGCAACCTATTGCTGTTTCTCTCCAGTTTCTACACATTCAGATAATAACTATTAAATACTTATTGCATCAGTCATATTATTATTACTGAGCTGTTGAGACATACAATTTTCATAACGTTCTATTAGGTTTTACAGGCTACAGTGACCAAGAAAAGTAACATACACTTGAAGCTGACGCAAATTTGTTGGCAAGCGAATATAAGTCCTCGGTGTTGGCATACTTATAAAGTACAAAGTCAGTGGCGGACTAAGTTAGAGGCCCAGGGCGGCAAAGATGAATGAGGCTTTAAAAAAATGATTTTCTTTATGTTTATTTTGTTAAAATCGGGAAAGTGGATTTTTAGTTTGAATTAAATTATTTCGGCTATCAACATACATACCCACAATATGAAATGGATATGGGTGAGAAAAATAAAATACGATATCGATCGACAAAAAAAAATATAAAATAAATCAAAGATAGTTTTTTTATTTTTTGTAGGGTGTTATATGTTTTTTCGTACCTTCAATTTACTGAACTCCTCAATAACTTCTTTGGATTTTTTTTTCTATTGAAAGCACGGCTAGGTAAACCAGTCGCTCTTGACCCATTGTAGATCGAAGATAATTTTTAATTACTTTAAGTTTCGATATACAAATATACAGAGACTTTGCAGTGTTGAGTCTCACGATGAGAACAAGTACATACCTACGTCCCTAATAAACGTGCATTACAAATAAAATAAGGACCACTCGCGAAATGAAAGAACTGAAGCAACGTACTCGTAGGTGCAGTGCCGTCTTTGACCTATTGGAGGCCCTGGGCATATTAGGATAATGGGGCCCTTATGACTTCCGTTTGGTGATTTAACAGGAACTAGGGACTTTATATTTGATATGAGGGGGCCCCCTATCGAACGCGGGGCCCTGGGCACTTGCCCAAAGTGCCCACTGGGAAAGACGGGTCTGCGTAGGTGCATATTGACTAGAAACTACGGGTTATAATTTGTAGGCTAAATTATACGAAAAATTATTTACTTTTTTCAAATACTTGTTTTATACCGCAACAAAAATCAAAAACACTATAACACTTTTTAATGAAATTACTTTAAACGGATAACATCGCCTTTCATCAACAGCCTATCCTAGTCTACTGCTGGTCATAGGCCTCTCCAATTGCACGCCACTGAGATCGATTTTGGGCTACTCGCATCTAGCTCCTGCCAGCCACCTTGCGCAAATCGTCACTCCATCGTGCCTAAGGACGTCCTACACTACGTGTGCCTAGACGCGGTCTCCACTCCAGAATTCGTCTACCCCAATGGTTATCGGTTCTTCGGCAAATATGGCCAGCCCACTGCCACTTCAACTTGCTAATCCGGTGGGCTATGTCGATAACTCCGGTTTTCTGTCGGATTACCTCATTTCTGATGCGATCCTTCAGAGAAACGCCGAGCATAGCCTTTTCCATAGCGCGCTGAGCGACTTTGAACTTGTAGACCAGCCGTACCGTCAGTGTCCATGTCTCAGCTCCGTATGTCATCACAGGAAGGACGCACTGACTGAAGACTTTTATCTTTAGGCACTGTGGGATCGACGATGTCAGGATTTGACGTAGCTTACCAAACGCTGCCCAACCTAGCTGAATTCTTCTATTCACCTCGTCCTAAAAGTTGTTTGTACCTAATTGCAATGACTGCCCGAGGTATACATATTTTTGAACAACTTCGAGAACGGCACCGTGTATTGCAATCGGTTCCGGAAGAACATGTTCATTGAACATGACCTTGGTTTTATCCAAGTTCATCCGTAGTCAGGGTTACTGCCATGATGACGATGTCGTCTGCAAATCGTAAGTGAGAGATGCGTTCGCCATTTATGTTGATGCCACGTCCTTTCCAGTTCAGCGTCTTGAACATATCTTCTATTGCATTAGTCAAAAATTTCGGGGAATTTCCCCTTTTTTATTACTTAACAATTTGAAAAAAGGCTTATTCGTTCATGAAAATATCGGTTACTAATTAACTATTAAATATCAACGTAATGATATTTAATACATATGTTTTAAATGAGGCCAATGTTTATTTTTCGACGTAAATATAATGTAGTAAATGTAAATGTAGGCGTACAAGAGTGAAATATTTGCACTTCATTCATTTAAGGATTCCTGAAGAAGTATCCGCTACAACGACGGGAATTCCCCCAACGTATTGGACGCGTTCAATAAAGTTAAAAGAATATTAGTACCGCGTAAAATTTCTAGATAGCTGTAGTGTTTTGGTCTTGATGAAATTATGTAGAGGCATTTAGGGCCCCGCAAGACTGGAGGCCCGGGGCGGGCCGCCCCTTCCGCCCCCCTGTTAGTCCACCACTGTACAAAGTGTTCGATATAGCAGACAAATACCATAGGTTTGCACTCTTCCAATAATATCAACAGGTGTTTTGAAATGTATTATGAATCATGTTATTATTACGTATCGTCATTATTGTTATTATTACGTACCAAATCCTAGATTCATGATTATTCGTTTCTACAGCTGGAAGAAGGCATGAACCATTTGGCGTGGTTATCAAACATGCCTCTTTGGATCCAACCCAAAAATGTTAAACAAGATAATATGAGGAGCTGGCGAACAAAACGGTATAATTACGCATCTGATCAAACTACTTTTTCTTTACAGTCTGGAGGTTCCGGGTTCCGTTGAATTTGAATCTCAAATAATTTTCAATCAAAACCACCTAAAACAGTGTTAAAGTAACTAAATTTATAAATTAAAAACTATGCCAAAAGCTCACTGGAGGTATGTCATTCAATTTTATACAGTTCTTGTAAAATTTAGTTTTAAGTTAATTATACCGTTTTGTTCGCCAGCTCCTCATATAACAATTTTAGATTATACTTGTTTTGGTCATAAACCACTGTTACAACTAAGAAGCGTTCTCCTTTTTTTAATATTATTGTATTAATGTATAAAGTAACAAACATTACAGTAGTTAAATTACTAATGTAATAGAGAAAAAAAGAACATATTTTTCCTTGTTACAATATTTATGTCAAGATAAGATATGTTTGGGTCTTCCAAGGGTCTTCAAAATATTCTTCTAGTATGAAATATTGTAGTCTCAAACTTATCTTTGTTCTCTCATTAATCGTCATCTTTAAATAAGTTCTTTGTATATTAACTCACATTTACATCATAGTAGAATAAAATGTGGGTAGTTAGATTAGAATAATAATATAAAACAATTACTCGGTACAAAATTACATTATAAAACAAGATAAAACTATAGGGAGGTCAGCTCAAAGCGGCCATAGGAGGAAAAGAGGCCACTCTTCATTATCTAGTTATCAAAAGTGGTATTAAGATGCTGCTTAGTCAGCAATCCTCCCAGCATCAGTAGCGGTGTGTGTGCTGTAACGGAGCATGGAGTTTCTTATTCGTGATATGTTAAGAAAATAATAGGTTATAAACTCTTGTTTTAGTGGTAAGGATTAACTTAACTTAGCCATCTGCCATGTCTCGAGTAACTAATAATTAGTCTATCTATAACATACAATTAACACCTTTAGGAAAACTCGTAAGGGTGCGCCAGTTGAAGTTGCAAATCACCGCCAAGTACCAAAGATACAATGTGGGGAATTCTGTAGTTGTGTGGTGAATAAAGACGTAATCGGAATTAGAATTAGAAAATAGGTTTCTCTATAGTAATTTATTTACAGGATTACTACCATGTACCTGTTTTAGCGAGTTTCCGATATTTCGGCACTGTTGCAAGCGCCATTATCATGGAATAACTGTTAGCTACCCCATGTTAGTATGTATATAGTATGGATTACTACCATTAGCAATCCCGTAAATAACATAAATTACTATAATGTTAGTGACCATGAAAGTTTAAAACAAATGATTAGTCCATATAAACATTCATTCGCCCTCTTCTAAGTTTGGTTTACGCGACAAGAAGTAACATGCATTAGTACGCAGACTAATTAAAGGTATGCTACTACTCATGCATTACTCTTCCAAAACCCCAAACACACTGAAAGCGAATTTTTCCATTCATCAACAAACACATCGCATTATTCGTAACTCCAAAGAAGGCACTAAGCGCAGTAAGTGTGAGTGGGATGGGTGATCTTGCTCGGGCAATTTCGCGACAAGCTCTCTACTGCGAGTTATTAGGCACATAAAGTTAAAAACCAAACAAAAATGCATGCAATATCGTGGGAATAACTGTTGGGTACTTTTACGTAATTTGACCGATTCTAGACACTCGAGCAGCAAACCAGTGACTCAAAATGATGTCATTTAGTACTCATGACAGACGAAATCAATACACGACTGCATGTGTCATCTCAAACGTCATAAGGGATTTCCAGTTGTGTTTTGAATTTTGCGATACTCTTTCCGAATATTTTATGTACCGAGTCTCTCATATCAAATAATCACATTATAAATTTCCAATTTTTTTCATTGAATTGAATGGAAAAACAAGTTGAAAGAATATTATTTTAAGACTCTGGAATGCACCTAACTCTATCCTATAAACACCGGTCTTTGTATTTAATTAACTATTTAAAAACCACTGTGGTTTCTCTAATGCTGTAAAAATTAAAAGATGTATCTACTGTTTTTTATGAGAAATAATTAAAAATTGTGTACCTTAAATTGTGTACCTAGATATTAATGTTTTTAAAATACACACACCGGCACAATTAAGGGAACACAAAAAAAAAGTAGATTTTTTTCAATACCTTCGGATATCTTGACAAGTTGGTATTATTTATGTATTACTACCGTCTCTAGAAATACACTCGATCA